CTTATAATAAGAAAAATAGAGTTGAGTTAACTATCCATATGTTAAGCCTGTTAGCTTAAAATTAAAATCTTCAATTTTCATTTTTTTGCCTTTTTTTTTTGGAAAAAGGAATCGGAACCTAGAATATTAGAAAGATAAATTTGTCGAAGTTACTAGAGTGTAACACTGAAAGTTATGCAATACCAACAGATCATAGTGAACTAGTACTTAGTAGGTGGAATTCGAGCAATTTTGTCAAAAGCCTTCTGAAAAGGAAAACTGAAAATTGGAGTACAAAGGATTTAGGTCGTGATTGTTTATAAGATATCTAGTGTGATCAGATATTCTTTTATTAACTCAAAATCTAACTCAAATTTAGCTCAGCCCAACCATCTTCAATATTATCAATATAAATAAATAATGTTATTCATCCTCACACATCACTTCACTTCAACTTTAATTCACTGTTCATCCACTCATACATTTTAACTACCCATCTTTTGCAACCACGTCTCTCATACTTTTACATCAAATCAACTTTAATCATTATATTTTAAATATTATTTTACCATGAACTCAAAATCTCACTCAAACATAACCAATCAACTTTTTCAAAATTAACTTTGGTTACAAATTCAACCAGGGTCTTGACTATTGATAGGTTGGGGATCATGCCTTAATCCCCCACCCTTCCGGGGCGTTTTCTTATAAAAAAATAAGTAAAACCAACAAATCTAATAAAAAACAAGATAACTTATATCCAATCACCCTTAATGTCTAAAGGTTTAAAGTATTTTGATGAAAACAAATAGTATATCAAGTCATACAATACATTAACTTAATCTTAGAGATATATCACAAATTAGTGTCAATTAGGATATGTAAAGTCTTTTGATAGGCTTTTTAATAGCAAAGGTCAAATATCAAAACATAAATTTTTTTATTTGACAATATGCATACATTTTCTTTTAACCGCCGCCTCCCCCTTGTTCATGGAATTTTCTATTTATGGTATTATTAACTCAACGTACCTTTTCCAAGGCAAGCGGGAAAATGACATCAAGGAAAAGGATTTTGTACGCCCATATGATTCGCTGTTTCTCTTTCTGTTTATGTAGCCATGTTGGCCACTTATAAGTGACCAACTCGTACTCAAAACCATAATGTTTCGCCATATGTGGAATTACATCCTGCCACAAAAAGCATTGAACAGTTGCAGAATGGAAATAATGAAGATTCTTCGTCCATTCTAAATGGGCAAACAGTATAGCATTATGAAAGACAGATTTACAAAAATGGTCAAAGATAAGTATAAAACCTTGAATTGTGGAGAGAGATAATTCTTTATAAACCAAAACTTGACTGGTCGGTCCGTATTTTTCAGAACACTTAAAATCATAATTTTCAGAAACCGCTCATACCTGCAGAGGGATGATTTGTGAGGGAGCTAGATTGATAGAAACAAACAACTAAACTAACTGCAATGGTAAAACTGACATACTTAACAATAGCCCCAGTAAACAATTGTACTGCAGCTATGTAAGAACTTACAAGTGTCCAGAGGCAACTGAAAATATATTTATTTTTTTTCCACGACGACCGCCATTTCCAGATTCCTACAAAAAAAAAAAAAAAACCAATAAAAAAAAATAAATAAACGTGTCAACAATTCATTCTTTTGCTAAAGCATGAAGACACAAACTTATGCATATAGGAATACTGATTACTACTGTTCTTTTTAAGTCTCACCAAGGAATTGTTTTCCCCCTTCTTTGAGTGGTCTTTCTTGCCGATAAATCCAGAAGCCCATTTAAGGATATTTGAATTCCATATGTTCTCAGCTCCCTAGTCATGTAAAGGATAAAATGATCATAATCCGACTCTCAACTCAGCAAAATAGTGTCTTTTCAGACATTACAAATAGGAAAACACAAATAAATGTTAAATTTTCTTACTTTCTTGCCAGAAGAATGACCATCTTCATCAACAGGAACCAACAGCTTCTCTTGTTCCATGCCCTTTTTCTTAATAACTTCCATATGAACTACTTTACCTCGCAAATCATCTATCGTGATTCGCTTCAGCAAAGATGTCCCCTCGTTTCCATCACTGTCTTCTTTCATAAGGTAAAGCTCGGAGCTTCTACCTGGAGCGAGCCGCAAATACCAGACCCCAGGCAAGACCTTCATTTGCCAGTAACCCAAATTGGCCATAACAAGGGTATCAACCAAGTGGGGAGTATTTTTAGATCCAAGAATCAATTGAAGACCCCGGGGGGGCTCATGATCTTTCTCGGAGCAATGACCTGGATTTTTTTTATTTTTTTTATTTTTTCATAGCAAGATCAACTGATTATCAAAACTAAAATTGGGGATAATTAAGATAACCACCGTAATATAAAGAACATACATAGAGGTTTGTAATCTAAGAAAGGTGCCCCCTCAAGAGCAATCAGAGGGGTTTTACTGTAAGGTATATACAAAAACCTCAAGATGTTTTTCATAATTTAGAAAATAAGCAGGTTCTTGTCCATTGCAAATGGAGCTGGAAGAGTCATTGTTGACAATTCTCCTGGCATAGTGCTAATAATGGACTAGATAAAAATGGCTCAATTAAATTCTAGTGCTTCTTCTATTAGTGAAGTTTCTAGAAAAAAAATATATATCAAACGACGCAATGCACCTTGGGTCGCTACGGAAACAGCCTCCTTGTATAATTACAAGGGTAAGGTCTGCGTACAACTGACCCCCCAGACCCCAACCAGTTGAAAATATACTGGGTATGTTGTTGTTGTTGTTGTAGAAAATAAGTAGGTTTTTGTAATTTGACTAACTTTCAGGTAATTTTGTAATAAGCTCTTCATAATATAGCAAACAGTACCTGTCAGAACAAGAGCTTCTAGTTCATACACTGCCTGCAGCGTCCTGGTGTCAGCAAGATTCTCGAGCAATATGTTATCCAAGTCATGGCTGCAATATGTCGATTAAAAAATGAAGAGCTAAACAATAAAGGAAAGTAAGCAAATATCTAATAGATAGTTCTAAATAAATCTTCAAATATTTTAAGCAAGCATATTGCTAAGACCCCCTGACTAGAAACTTACACGGCAACAAGAGGCTGCACAAGCCACGGTTCAGGAACGTCAAGATTCATGGTGAGTGTCTTAGATAGTGGCATGTTTGCGAAAAATGCTTTGGGACCATGCACTGTGTGATCAATACTGCTGAAGTCATCCTGAAGAGTTATGACATCATGAGGAACTGAAAGCATGTGATTCTATGAAAAGGTGATAAGCATAAGGTACATGGAATACCATTGTTGGCACGACATATCTATAGTAGTTCTTCAAAGGAAGATCCGCTAGAGAACTCTGCAGGAAAAAAAGGGTAATTTTTCAGACACAACTAGGAAATTGTGAGTCTGTCATACAAGCATTCGCAGTTATGATAGTAACTCACCACGGGATTGAGCACAAGTCTCATGCTTGGCTGAGCGTACTTTGACAGAATGCGAAGAAGGGCCGAGAGCTTTTGGCCAGAGGGACTCAAGGGATCAATGACAGCATCAATATGAATGCTTGAGTTTTCATCCCCCAAAATTACAGCACTGTGGGCATTGTAAGAATGAGAAGAAATTATCTTACAAATGGAACGCTTGTGTCCTAATTGTATTGATAGTTAGAGACAACGGACAGAATTTGAATGCTTTGTACTCGGTAGTTGATGTTACCAATTTTTGGGTTAGGACATACACTCTCTAAGGGGAAAAAGACAAAACTAAGGAATGACATACTTATTAATAAATATAAATCATCCAGATAATTCTCAGTCAATCAGTTAAACATGCACCTTCTGTAACAAAATTGAAAATCCATAAGCTTCTAAGTAACCTCTACAATCTTTTGTCCTGAATAGAATAGCATTTTAGTTAACTAATTATGAAACAGAATGCCCATTGCAACACCCAAACTGAATGACAAGCCATAGAGGAAAAGATAAATTTGAATTTCCAGAAATAAGCCAAATAAATTATCCTGTCCCATCACGATCGATATGAAACTTGTCATCTTTTCCTTTTATCCTTAAATGTGATGGTACCTGTATTCTGCACTCAAAATCTCAAAACGGGCACTTTCAGAACTTCGATCCCTCATGGAAATTGAGGATGAGATGGTCATAACAATGTCACTCATGAATTTGCTGCAAAGTAGAAAAACTTAAAATAAGTCTTCCATCAGTCAAGCAGACACTGTTTCAGAAAGAAGCCGTAAAGAAGATATCGTTAAAGAAAAAAATGAATGGGTCAATTTTGTGCAGCTCATTTTTTAAATATTCGTTCTAGAAAATATTGCAATTTTATCTTAAGTTATGGTCACGTGAAATCAATCTACATAGTTATTCACGCATAAATTCACATATAGAATTCAATGCATTGGCAAAGGTGATGGTTTCTTGAAAAACATAAGGTACCATAACCATTCAATATACTTCTATAACATTGTTGTCCCAAACTCACGCAAAGGAAATTCCTTGGTGAATAATCCATTTCCGCACGTGATTACATTTCATAAAATAGCACAAAACCTACTGATGTACCTTGTCAACATGTCAGGATCTACACCATCCCACTTTAGATCTTCAACTATCTCAGCAATATGTTTTATCCGTTGCTTGAACTCCAGGGACTCAAGAAGATCCAAATCATGGCTCAGGAATGTACTACCATCGTCGAGTCGGATTAACTACAGAATACAATACTAAAATTACACACGTACTCTAAAGTTGAGTACAATGTTCATGAGAATTACTTGCTGAAATATTCCAATGGAGAATTTTACGGGGCAATTGTAGATACGAAACCGAAATACCATGAATTTAGGAGTGGGTCCATGATGGGAAATGAAAGGGTTAAGCATTAATTTTAATTTGTATTTTAGGGAAATGCTATTCCTTGCTTGATTAGAATAAGATGCTGATATTGCAGTAAAACTTCTTAAAACCAGATTATCCTGATTAAAATAAGATGCTGATAATGCAGTGGAACTTCTTAAAACCAGATTATCCTTTAATTATCAAATGAAAATAGAAGGAAATAGAAAGTCATCAGGACTGCTACATCAACTCACTCTCCCATTGGTAACAACTGCATTCACACCTAGTTCAAGGCCAAGTGTCTTGTATAAAAACCGAGTAACCTGCATGAAAATCGAGCAAACAATGTCAAAAGAAAATGGTTAGGCATTTTCAATGTCTTACACACATCACGCCTGAAAATCTTTTACCCAGAGATAAAAGCATAAACGGAACAAGAAAAATGTAACAATGATCACTCACTGTTATCAAGCCACCTAAATAAAGGTACGTTGAATCAGCGTTAATGTTTTAAGTTCTAACATATTCCTGGTGGTCCCTTTGTTTCACATAATGGCCCGCAACGTTCTAAATGAATAGGAAATAGGATGGATGACGAACTACCATCTCGCTGCTCCTAGTGAATCCCACTACTTTAATTACAGGACAGAAGACTGACACTAACCAGTCAGGTATATTAAAGGTCAGGCAGGCATTCTATGTTCGCATACCCAAGTCACCATCAAGTGTTCCAGGTCCAGTGCAACTTTAAAATAAAATACTATGCCAAACAGTAATAATTAAGAAAGCCATGCACGGAGAGGACCAAAGTACAAGGATAAAATATCTTGTAGAATTAATATTATTGATTGACAAAAGGAGAAATGGAAGGCATAAACAGAAAAACGTTTCATGCAAAAGAGAGTAAACTCAAGTTTTCAACTGACAACCACTTTACAGGAAGAAAGGCTATTAAATAGACACTCATGAATTGATTGCTTTTGCATATAATATCAGAAGAATTAGAGCACACCTTGTTGATGTAAATTCTCAAATTATCAGCAGAAAATCCAGAAAGTTTAGACTCTAAGCCCTTAGATGACAACCCATTAGCATCTGCTAACTGGAAGACCTTCTCACTGAGTGCCACATAGCTCTCAGTAACCCCAGAAGCCGACATATACTCTTGTTCGTAGAATGAGCATAGTTGATCAAGAAATTGTAGTACTCCTTTTTTATGGCTGCAAAACACACTACTAGATAAGGAACAAAACAGAAATAGTATCTCAGTAAATCATAAAGATTCTAAGTCAAAAGCTTCTGTATAGCCAACAATTCTCACAATTCAAGACAGACCTATATGACGATGCAGTTGTCTCAAAGACTTTCATGAAAAAGAGACCCGGCAAAGAGGTAGTCTCATTTGCAATAAACAACACACCAACCCGAGCATTTTTTGAGCCACCGATCTGCAGGGTAATGCAAGCATTATAATCACAGAGAAATAGAAGAAAAAAATAACAATAAATCAAAGCATGTGATTTGTAAATAAATTAGAACGTTATGCTGAGGAGGCAAATTTATTAAGAGAGCGGATTCATTTTGCAACAGATCAACTAATACTGAAAGAACGAAATCTTGCAAAAGTTATCAAGAAAAAAATAACCTGAAAGAGAAGTGTAAACATAAAGTATTACATTCTCCTCCACTTGTACATAACTTATGATAAGGACAAGCATATGAGAATATTTGCATTTAAGTACATAACAGAAACACCTTTTCATCTTTACAAATATTCAATCCCTAACAAAATTAGGAGTCATGCTAAACTAACATAATGGCTGGCATACACTTTGGCATAATACTCACGTGGAAAAATCCCGTTGATTTATACATCACATCAACTTTAAAATCAACAATCATTACACTTGTCCAGTAATTTATGTTAACCTTAATTCAAGTAACATTTTCCAAAATTAGAGATCCTATCTCTTCAAAGAATAATTGAAAACGTAAAAAGCATGACAGACTTTTGAACATCACTCTCCACCTCTGTATGAAGTAAAGATGGCAAAATGTCTTCCAATGATAAATTGCAACAGTAAAAGGGAAGGTAACCATTGATCAAAGTGAGAGCTTCAACTCACCACAGCAGTTTCCTTCCCGTCAGTCCATTTTGAAGGTTAGTTATAAATGGCAAATAAATTTATTTTCAGCAAAACAAGTGGAAGTTTGAGTATCCTTACTCTCCTTCATGGGTATTAACAACATTTTTGTATCAGCTAGTATACTCAATTATCAGAAGTGTTCAATGAGGGTTGGATCAGCACTTTTAAGGGTGTTTAAAAATGAATAGTAAAAAGGAAGCAAGAAGATTTGACTTTGAGAACCTGGAGAATCCAACATGATGAATTAGAGGTATCAATACAAATCTAACCAACTGTAGCAACTAATTACCAGATAACGTATTCCTTCTCGTAATAACTTCATCCCTTTCTTTGATGTGATATCAACAACAAGAAGATGAGTCACTGGCTTCAAATCATCAGTTGCTGAATTGTATAGCAAATATCAGATACTTTAGTTTAATGAATATGAATGTAAAAGATTCTTTTCTAGCATTTAAAGAACTTACTTTCGGGAGAATGCAAGTAGTAGAGATCATTTAATACAGATTCCTTTGCAATAACTGACGCACACAAAGATACGAATTTTGGTTTGGACTTTGCATCTGTTATGATCTACAAGGTCACAATATTTGTTAGGTTTAGCAAGAGAACCACAACCGAAAAATCCAAAAAGGACCCAACATCTGAAGATGACACATTCAACCGAGAACGTTTCAAGACAATCCACCTTTGTATTATAACGCTGGACACCACTTTCAGAAAGAAATTTGTCCAGAACATCGGTATGAGAATTTATCTGTCCATAGTAGACTTGCTCCTGTATCCTGGGAAGCTCATCATTCATGGCATTTAGAAGAGCCTCCTGTTCATAGTAGAACCAACAATTTTTGTTTCATGCCATATAGATGCTACTATAGAAACCAATATTAATAAAAGCAAAATGCGAGGTTGATCTAATTTACAATAACCGTTCAGCAAGCACACATAACCAGCAGATCACCAACAGAGATATTGCACAGGCTCAATAATTAAACTATTGTACAAAATTTAGCCATAAGGGTTATGCATTTCATAAGTAGAAAACTGATTGCGACAAAATTCAAGAGAAGCTAAAAAATCAATATAAATTCCAAAGAGAGCAATAAACAATTTTTAGAGACATAAAATGCACAGTAGATTGTCTGGTTAGGTTTCAAAGTCGCAGAAGAACGATTTGGAATAGAGATGTATTTATTTTCATTTTTGGAGGAGACAGCCTGTATAATTGTTTGCAAGCATATGTTGATTAGAAGTGTTGGATATATCTATGTATTTATTTAGGTCAAATATGTGACAAATTTTGAATGGAACAAAATATTACACACAATTGTACATAATACGCAATCTGAAACTTGAGTGATGCTGATCTATTATTGATCCTACTCTTGGGGGAAGAACTAATGTTGAAAAAATGTGAAAGCAACCCAGGGGCTAATTGCTGACGAAGCTTAGCCTAATCTATTTTTTTAGTCATTCAATATGGAGTCAAAGGCAAAAACAGATAAAAATTGATAAAGCATTGTCGGATTGTCCCGAGTCCCGAATTATGGAAGAACGTAAGTGCTTGGCTCAGAGAAAGAATCGGGTATGCAGCTGATGCAATGAAACAAAATTAGTTCTTTTCTCTTGTTTCTAGAGCAAGGCTATTTATCAGCAGTAGCATGCTAAACACAACTTGTCTCACATCAAAATACTTTATGGCATATGCAAGGTTGTACCACAACAGATAAATTTAATGGGCATATTAGCAGATCAGCATTCATCGCAATAGCTTGACAGAGAAAGGTAGTGATCCAACCCCATCAAAAAGTTCAGTGCAACGGAACCGACCAAAATGAAATTAGCACTAGTTATACAGATAGTGGCACACAGAAGTTTGAAAGATGCACAACCTCATTAGGTTCAGAGACAAGACCATTAAACAAGAGAGAGCACTTCAGCTGTGTCAAGCCCAGTTTAAAAGCAGAAATGGAGCTTTCATGAGATAGTTCATTCCACGTTTGCTCCTTTTCTATTCTCAATAGAGTATCTTGAGGTGGTGATTTTGCTGTTGGCCTAAAGATGAGAACATTATATAAGAGATTTATAAATTGTAAGAATTCTCTAAAGCAACTTGATGAACTTCAGTGGAATATATATCCTGGCTTTATTGATAAGAGGAAAAATCAAAGTGAGACAGTCATATAGTTGTTGTGAACAATATTTAGAAGTCTTACAATATTGTTTCCACAAAAGCACCTTCGACATGATGCACTTCGGGATTATCTTCTGCACCCGACTCCATTCGCAACTTGTTCACCTACAATCAGGAAATGCAGATGCTAAAGAAAAACGCATAAGAAACTTTCTTGAACTACATCACATAACAAAGATATCATTTTTCACCAACGCTAGATAAATACAAGGAAATGGCCATCTCATTTCATTTGCAGGGCCAATAAATACAGGAATGAGTAATTCTATTTTCTCTCAAATCCCACAAGAAATGAAGAACTCATTCCCATATTTACAATGAGGAAATGGTGCATATGAGTAGGACAAAATTCCTACAATGAAACGTTAAGGAATTCTATCCTGTCCTCACCAGTCCAATAGTCATACAATGTCTATGCAATTATATACTTTATTTACAAGTGTGTGTACATAAGATGATGATGTAACATATGCAATAAAATAATTTACTATTGCCGTGATACTAACAGCAGGTGTAATTCTCTACTAGTCTGTCTGGCTATATACTTGTAAAATACATGTCATGCATAAGTAAAGCAAGAAGCGAAACAACAATTGGCTCCATCCTATCTACTATTTCACTTGACTGAACTAAAAGGCACAGCACAAGAGAGCTCATTCAATGTGTCAAGCCAAACAAATGTGGAAAGGATTTTAAATCATTTGTTTCTGCTAGACACATGGAATGGGACCACCAAAAATGGCTTTTGGCCTGATCATTCCACGGACATAATTTCTAAATGGCAAAGAGATGAAACTCGTACGTTGCTCAGAAACTGGAAAGCCACCAGCGTCCCATGATTTTCCTTGATGTAATTGAAAAGGCGTATGATCTGTCAACAGAACAAACACATCATCAGGATAGTAAAGAGTGACTGGCCATTTTCACCAAACAAGAACGGACATAACTGTACAGCTACCATCTATTTTTTTCAAATTTCAGAGTACCAACATCAATGTGTTCCACTAATTTTTATTTTTCGCTTTTCTGGCCTGTGTATACAATAACTCATTTTGAAGTGTCCAATGATTTTGATCCAGCCCAGTGTTATTAATGGTGGATGGTGGTACATGGCGTTTTGCCAAAACTCCGCCAATGCGGCCGCCGTGGCGGTCTATGGCGCCGCCATGACCACCATCATTCGAAAATTTTGCATGGCGGATTGTCAAAAATCCGCCACGCCATACCGCCATGGCCGCCATTTGATAACACTGATCCAGCCTGTCCTTTTTTTTATTGTTTTAGTAATAGTATTTCTAATCTGTTTATATTTCACTTTTTTTCTGGAACATCATACTAGCTTCATGTATAAGTGTGCTGAATATAGGTGCCTGTTACTGACATAACAAACTAGAATACCAAGATATGTCAACTTTATCAGCTACATATATTACCAAACTTGAAACATCTTCGTGGTCATCCTTCAAGTGATCAATAGGAAGTTCGCCATCATTTGCTTCTATCTTCTCCACTAATTTTGTGGAGTATAATATAACACCAAATCTCATAGGAAGATTGTTCTCAAACAAGGACATGATCATGTCAATTGTCTGCAATATCCAAATTCATTCCAGAGGCATCAGAGATGATTATGAAGTAGTAGTAGCTGAAAGCTGGAGGTGAGTATAGAGAACATAAAACTTGCCTCAAGCCCACAAAGAGTAGCTGGATCCAGAACATAAACTGCATGGAACAGGTTCTTACGAATATAACGTAATTGTCCAGGGAAGACCGGCATTAATAGCTATGACCAAAAATGCAAAAAAATATGTAAGGAGTCTGAATTTTCATTGGTGCATAAACTGATCAGGGAAACTAATTCTATGTACCTCATTCAAGTTGCTTCTCCAACGCTTGTACATGGCATCCACTTCCAAGTTATTGAGGTAGTGAACGTTGGAGGAACGGAAATCAACACGAAATGCATATGACTCTGAAGGGGGCAAAACTGAAAGGAATCTCCTCACGGAATTAGGAGGAATCTAGGGTATCATCAAAATTGAGAATTAGCATTACCATTCAGAAAATACCAATAAATGTAAAATATCAACATAAAGTATCAGCCTTAACATCCAATAAATTCCCGTCTACAGATGAGATTAAATCTTAAAAGGAACAATGAAGTAACCAAAAGACAGTGTGGCATTGCCCAACATCTCAACAAGATGTATATTTTCAAATTAATAAATGCAACAATTTGTACACAATAATATAGAAAATGTACAAGGCTTCTGATTCCACCAAACAGCTGATCTACAAAACAGTGGACAAACTAGAGCGAACCATGAAATGATTAGCAGATTTAGAAGTAAAGGAAAAGCATATAGCAATCATTACTATTGTACAATTTTATTTCTCACTGATATTCATGCTTTAGAAACTAGATTAGTAAGATTTTCTGCAGCTGGAAACATAAATAAGATTGATTGATTGCAGACCTAGCAATTAGTAGCAAGAAAGGCAACACGCTGAAGAAAAAAAAATTGCTTTAGATTTTTATAAACTCATGAGCTACCACAAAAGGTCCTAAGTATCACCAATATCACACTTCCTTTATTATCGTACAAAACTGTAAATCTTGATGGATATAAATAATGTAACAGAAAGTTTTCCTGAGATAAATCAGAATTTTAGGCAGTAACATCTACTACAAAATTTCAATACTATAGTATCAAGTGTACCCATACCTAAGGAGGTTGTTTATGTTCAAGTGAGGTTCTATACTGACTCGTTAAACCCTATAATCTAATTTAAGATATTGCTCAAGAAGCACCTTGAACCCATATGAATATTTCCAAATTGGGCTCCATGCGTAATCACAACAGCATAAACTTAACAAGATTGCAGAAGTTCTTGCCCTAAATATATGTAAGGGAATTTCGAGAATCCCATACCATCAATTTCTTGTACTGATCTGCCAAAGACAATTCCTGATGAACCATGTCAACCAACCTGGAAATTGCACGATACAAATATCATCATTAAGCAATGAGTTTTTTTCAGGTTAGAATATAAGCACTAAATAAAGTTTGAGCAATCACTACAACAGCTACGTAGATAGTAATATTTTATATTAAGAAGATGCAGTAGATATCATGATTAACTTCTCCCTCATATATTTTCATTTTGTATTTTCAATTTCTTACCTCTTGGGTGAAACACAGGAAACCAGATAATTCTGTTAAACGAAACTATATTATTATTTCTAGTCGTCCATTTAACCCTCTCAAAGAATTCAATAGGATTTATGTAGAGAAGAAAAAAATGGTTATGAGAAGGAGAAAAAAGTTGAAATGGCATCTTGGGTAGATGGAGATAGAGATGACAAGGACAGAAATTACAAACAATAGTTACACCAATTGCTATAAATCATGGTCGCGTAGGTTTTTCGTTGATAATGATAAAAGATGGCAACAATAACTCATTTAAAGAATGGAACCAAGATAAGTAACAAGTCTCTGTCTAAACAAAATAGTAAAGTTAGAAATTCTACAGGGGCAGGATAAATGGAGAAACCGCTTTTTCTTCTACAAGCCATACAGAATGCAGACAGATATGCATGAATGCATCTAAAATAAAAATCAAACTTCAAACAAAAAAATAGATAAGATAGTAACATGTGAAGCTCAAGAGAAACATGATAAATCAAATGCTTCCTGAGGTCAACTTTATTGGTCCTCATCTCGACCACCTTGCAGAAAGCTGTATCATGGGAAACGGGGCAAGTTTTAATTCTGCCAAGAAGATCATGCTATTTATGATTCATCTGAAACCTATTGTAACACTCAGACTTATCTAATTCCAGTTATATTCTCAATTTCTTCATTCCAGCTCCCTCAACATCAATTAACGGAGTTGAATCAAAATAAGACTTATCTATTTTCTCCCCAAACAAGGAGCAGATATAGAGTTAAACAGGAAGCAAAGACGAAAAGGAAATAGAAATAATGTATGGGAAAGAAGCGTTACAGGTAAAGGTCAATATCTTCGACATTGAGTAAGGCACCATTCAGGGCCACTAAAGACTTGCCAGGAGGAATCATTCGCTGATTCGCAATAATTTCATCTTTTATGGAATCATTTAGCTGCAAAAAGATACATATGCAAATTAACCAACTAATAACAGTTTACATTTGATGAAGCAACATTAAAGTACCCAAAATTTATGATCCTATATCAATATGCATCAGTAGCTGCACGGAAACAGCATACCTTCATACGAGACAGAGAAGAGACAACACTGGGAAAATTTTGATTGATTTCTTGCATTGCCTGCAAAGGATCAGAGGCATGCACTATCCTCTGTGCCGTTTGATGTCCTAAATCTGTCAGTGCAGGGACAAATATAAGTAAATATAGTCGCTGCTTGAATCTCTCATCCTGTGTATCTTGAACCACAATAATAGAATTACCTTTCAGTTCCCATACATCTAGTGTATCAGAAATTGTAGACGACAACAGAGAATCCCTGAATGCCATGACCTCAGAGGTTAGCTCTGGTTTGCGCTCCTGCATGCATAAACACATATTGAACTGGACAAGCCAACAACAACAACAATAGTAATAACTATCATTTTGGTCTTCTAGAATTAGCTTTTGTGTTTCCATCCCCTTTTCTTTTATGATGTGGGCCGGCAAAGGCCGAAAGAGTTACAGCATTAATAAACCAACTCCCTTTCAGTTACCATTATCAAGCGTTGAAAGCCAAAAGTCTAATAGTCAGCAGTCCCCCTTGATGAGGTTAATATTCAATGAGGCATTCTTACACTGGGATGCTTATAAATAGCAAACTCTATCTCCCTACACGTTAATGTTCAAAGAGTGCAGTAATAATTATGTTTTATAGCATTATTATAAGTTTATAACAGTGAAAAGAAAGCATATGACCAAGGGGAACTCGGGAAACAGATTGCTTTTGCATTGCTATAACTATAAATTTTGCTAGGGAAGGCATGACCAGGGGGACTAGGGAAACAGATTGCTTTTTCCTATAACGATAAAATTATGGTTCTTACATTGAGCAAGACTATAAAAGATCACAAGTGCGTGTGTAATTTGCTAAAACTTATAACAAAAAAAAAAAAAAAAGAAGGAAATGAACATATTTAGAAGAGAACAAACAACAGAGGGAATTTATCAACTTGCTGACGCATCACTTTTGTCATTAAGATATGTAATTGTCAGTTTCTAACAATTTACGGTTTACCTATGAAGCAAACTTCCTAGAGGTATCAAACGACACAAACGAAAAAAAAAATGTAACACCATTCACAAAAAACAGGCAACTAACGGCAAAAGAATTTGTTTCAAAATTCTGATACACAACTATACAAGCGGCTAAACCTTCTTATTTTCTCTATCAATTTGTTGGTTCAGTAAGCGAGAGAGTAACAAACCAAAATTCGCGAGAATATGAACCCTCTGACTTCTTGGCTAAGATCCTCTGTATGGGGATCTTCAAGAGTTACACCTGTCATAATTATTAAAACCTTTAAATGCAATCTCTCAGGCCTCAACAAAGAGGCCCTCATAAGGCACATGTGATTTAACAAAGATTTATGATATGAAATACAATAGAATCTCTTTCTAGCAACATTCACATAAAACATATTTCCTTTTCCATAAAAAAATTATGTAAAGGTCAAATCAATCAAGCATTAGCATTCCCACCAGTTGCTAATGTTTTGAATGCTCATCAGGCAATTATTATCCGCAAACATTCAGCCAATAATTTTATTTGCTTTCAAAGTTCTGTAAATCTGAATAATAATGTTCACCAAACTGTTATTTTTATCAATACTAGCACCAATCCTCTAATAGCAAACATTCACATTGTGAGAGGTTTATGTTTGTCCCACATCGATGAGGACAGGCTATTATTGTGTATGCGTGTTGGGCACCCTCTCCCTTTGAGCTAGCTTTTGTGCACGAGTTCTAAACCCATTTATCATGGTATCATAGCACCCAAGTTTCTGTGTTTGGAAGCGAAGGGTTTGGAACGGGCCCATTTTTGGATTAGCACGCAACGCATGAGGCAGGTGTTAGAAGTTTATGTATGTCGCACATGAATTAGTTACTAGGCTGCCGTTGTTTATAAGTGTGCACCCACTCCCTTTGAGCTAGCGTTTGGGTATGAGTTCTACCCAAGCCTATTTAACACACATCAATGACGCAACTGATTTGCCACTGCCTACCATCTGTCAGCCATTCAGAATAGCTACTTATGACCTATACAGAGATTGGGATAGACTGGTTCACAAACCCCCCAAGGATGAAATAGTGAGTTCATTTCACCATATCAGTGGTTAACAACTATTCCGAATGAGAAAGTATTATGTATAATAAAATAGAAAAAAAAAAAAATCGATTAGTAAGAATGATAATAAGTCTTCTATCTGCAGATTAGCTGTAACTAGAGCATTCCTTTCTAGACTGAATGCAGCTGTCAAGGCATAATCTAAGAATTGTTTTTTGGAGTAAAAGAGTTACACAATTGTGCTTTATTGGAGCAAAAGACTTATCCAATGGTGTAAAATTTGTTCCAATTCATAAATGCTATTATTTCTTTTGAAAAAGCACATAAACACACACACACACACAAATAGAGAGAGAGAGAGAGAGGTCTAATAGTGGAGCAGCAGTGAAGTTTTATTACCACAAAACAGTTCCATTTTCTACATGAAATTATCAGTGTCACCTGGAGTGCACAATTTTGAATTTGAGTCACAACAAGAAAGTGAAAATCTAACCTTTCTTCACTGTGCTGTCATCCATAGCCTTGTACTCCATATTCTTCAGGGCAAGTTCCACACCATACCCACCAAGGTTTAGAGGTTCTCCTGAACCCATGGCTCCACAGGAAGCACCTTTGGGTTCACATCCAGAGAGCAACACAGATCTGATAACATACTTAACTTTTCCCTGAAAGATTATTAAAAACTCATCAGCAAAGAATAAATAACTCTATGAACCAGAAGCTGAATATTACTTCCTGTGTTATATCCTCACAGAAGGAGATTGAAGACAAAGTGAAAATGAAGAGGCAGGGAGTATCTAAGAGTTTCCCAAGCTTAGGGTTGAACCATGGGAAATCTAAGTCAATGAATAAGCACTGTGACAAGCTTATTCAGTCTAAGATAGTAAGACAAAACTCACTTGAATAAAAAGTGGCACAGATATCTCAAATTTTCCAAAAGATAAATATAACATTATGACCACTCTTGCCAAATTGAACTTTTCAAAAAGGAAAAAAAAAAAAAAAAAAAAATTGTTAAACACATATAAACTCTTCTGAAGCTGATTATCATATCTTTTTAAGGCAACCATAAAGAATGCAAGCATGGCATTCCATAAAGCTTAACTAAACAAGACTGTTGAGTTTCACACTATGATAAATACAGACAAAACACAGAACAAAGAACACACATCTTAGACCAAAAGGTCCCAAGATCCTAATCGCAAAGATTAATCACTTTCAAGAAGACTTCAAAGCACATGTGTCCAGCTATAGAGGTAAGAAACCATTTCTATGAGGATGAACGTGATTAGATGAAAAACAACTGCTGCAATGCGCTCGCACCTTTTTAGCAGCTTCTGACAAGGCTATGTGAAATTCCTTAAAGCATTCAGTCCCAACAGCTCCATACAGAATGGCAGCAGGGCTTCCAGCAGTTGATTCTGGATGGACATGATCAAATTCGAAAATCTCAGGCTGCTGAAATTCACCATGTGCTCTGGCAAAAAAATACCATAACATATGGTTATGAATCTAGGATATTCAGCTTCTCCCAGAAAGTTGATGTGAATAATAGATCAGAACTTACATGTCATTAGGGTTTTGTACCCACGTCAAAAACTCATTGACTTCAAAAAACAGTGACCCGCCTGTATCAACCCAACAACATCTATTGCCAGGACTATTGAGGTTCACACCCGAAAGGAATGTTTCAGAATTTTTTGATTTTGCAGTTTCACTTGGTCTTGAAACCCCTCCATCAATGGTGTTTGAGATAACATCATCAACTAAAGGAAAAGACGAAAGAGATTCCTCCGCTAACTGACGATACAAAAGTAGCCTAGGCGATGCAGACCTAAGCGTGAGGGAGAACTCAAAAATTGATGCCAAGGGTTCATTTAATAAGGATTTCCCGAAGTTGACAATTTTCTTCAAGCAATCCTTTGCGGTGCTAGAATCAGAATGTACATCCGTGGAGTGAATCCATGATTCAACAAAATCCCAGTACAAGTCTTTCGATTCCTTAGCTAACAGCTCTCTGTCAAATACATAATGAGTTAGTTGTTAAAGATATCCAAAGATGGCAGCTTATGAAGGTAAATGCAATAAACTAAAATCATTGTCGTCAGACACCAAGTACACTACTTGTCAAAAGCGACAGCACGCACGTATAAGACAAGCCAGACAAAACTAGTCTTAAAAGGGTATTTTTGCATGGTCACTTTAACAACACCACTGACCCGTGTACTCGTATTAATATTAGAACATTACTTTCATTTCCACAATATCATCCCTCCCTACACAGAAAAGCTACTAGAACTTATAATATATCCGATGGCTCATTAGGTAAGCAAGCTTCTAGATTAACTTTATCATCATACTCAGTGCTGTGCTACACAGCTTGGCTTTCTGTTCTACTTGACTAGAAATTGTTAACCACATTGGAAACTGAAATGGCAACTTCCATTAATAAATTAATACATCAGGCTAACACACTAGGAACTTCGTCGATTCAACCCAATATCTTTAACTAGATACAGAAAAATGAATACTACGCAACAAGTTAGAGTAGATTATATGTGTGTGCGTGTGCATCTACATAAGAAATATATTTTACAAAGTTGACTTGGGCCTTTATCTTGGAACATTGATGGTTAGAGGAGGCCAAGAACTATTCGTTCAACATACTGTAGACTTCTCTGTGTTTTTCATATTGTAATAAAGTTTTGATTCTACTCGTTCATGGTGTAGAGAACTACTTGGTTAAAAAAGACAAGCTTTTTTGAATAATCATGAACAAGTTGTCTCGTGGACATAATAAACAGGCAACACAAGTACGAAAAAAATAAACAAAGAATATAAAAATAGAGAATTTTACTAGCTAACATGAGCATAAGAGAAACACAGCAGCAGCTCGCCAGCAAGACCCTCATAAAACTAAAAACCAAAACTTTCCACGAGGAGCAATTAGCATTCGCGCACAACATGTTGGATAGATGCAGTTGACAGAAATAATCATCAAAACACAACCAAACAACTGACCGGACTCCACGAAACACATCGACAACCAAAATGTGCGAGAAACAGCAGATCACACAAAGCTAAAACAATTCAAATGTCGAAATGCTCATCGTATCCTTTACAGTAAACACATCCAAATACAGTGGCGCATACCCGGCTTCCAGAAGAAGTGGAGTGCCAGGCCACTTGGCCCTAAGCGCCACCTGCACATTCTTGGGCCCGCGGTTCACCGCATAAATTGAGTAAGAACCAAAAAGTACGAGCAACAAGAAGCATAACCCAGATCGGAATAGAAGCCCCATTCGTAAATCCTGATCGATTTTCGCTTCGAGAGTCCCGGTATCGAATGCGATCAAATCGTGTCCATTAAACGAGGACCAACAAGGGATCGAACTCCAGAAGGGTCCCTTCTCGTATCTCGCTCCGTGTGTTCTTGCACGATGATATATATATATATCTCTGTGTTTTGCGCTCGCGAGCTGAGAGAGACGATGAATTGGGCGGGCGTGTTCAAGTCTTTAGATGCTGAAAGTCTCGAGTCGTTTGATGAGAACTGAGAATGGTGTCAGTGGTGAGTGGTAAAAATGTGGTAGGGTTCACCGTTTACCTGTGCGCCGGAGGTAAGGGTGTGTTTGCTACTTACAAATTGCAATGCGATTTTGGTCGGTTTGACTTTTAAATTGGTCCAAAGTCCAAACCTTGACGTGGTGATGCTCCTGTGGCAGTTGACCTGCGTCACCAGCACTGACGTGGCGTCTTCCTATTGGCAAATTTTAATGTGTGCAACTACCATACTCCAACTTTGAATATGATTTTTATGTAGGGAGTTTCCAAATTGCCATGCAAGTGTAAAAATAACTTACACTACTACCTCTACAATTTCTATTTTTTTTCTTTTAAAAGTAAGAAACACTCTCAAGGGTATAGGATTAAGACTAGACCCACAACATATATATACTCAAGGCCCTAATTAGGTTGAATAATCACAAGTCTGCAGGTCAAAACAGCAAACAAAAACAACAACAGAAAAAAAAAGAATTAAAAAACAACCACCAAATCGAAAAGTCTGAGTCTGGGCTGACAGGTGCCCAGGCGAGCAATCTGCACCACGAGTGGGCCAAAACACAAAAATACAAAACGACTACCTAAATTTGAACGATGAGTAGCCCATCTAGTCCATCCGCAAAAGAGTACAAAGGCGGAGAGGAGAGGTCGTCAGGATGAAAAATGCGTCTCTAGGGAGTAGAGGCACTGATGCAAACGAGGAAGTCAGTGGGTCAGTTCCCCTCGGGGAAGATGTGCGAAACCCGGTAGCAAACTGACTAAAGTATGGATCTGATGCGTATGAACGGGTGCTGAATCTGTCACGAGCCCTAATGGCATGCGGTTAAGAGGGTGGCGATAGCGGCAACGTCCAACTCTATCCAAATGTTAGAAGAGATAGAGGTTGCAATCTGAAGACCAAACTAAAGTGCCTGAACTTCCGCGTTGTGACTCAAGGAGGCTTGACGAGGGGCGTGAAAGGCGGTAATGAGAGTTTTTATGTTATCCATAATCAGGCCCCCGCCTTCAGCAGCTTCGATAAGTCAGTCAAAAGATCCGTCGGTGTTTAGCTTAACCCAAGAGGAGTCGGATCTCAGCCAACAACGGCTCTGGGGCGTAGGTGCTGGACATGCGACATTGGAGGTGGTACGAAGTGATGAGGAGGCGTGCAGCCTGTCCAGTGTCTAGGTGTGAGTCTGCCCAGAGCTGAGAGGAGAGAGAGATGTCGATCAACATGCAAAAACAATGTGAGAGCACATAAAAGTAATATTCATATGCTTCACACTATTCCTTTCGGTCCAGATGGACAACAGGATCAAACAAAGAATGAGGAAGTTCACGTGTCTAAAGTGTGTGCGCTGTGAGAAAAAACTCAGAAGCTCAAAAAAACGGTCTACAGTGGAAAGGGTATATGAGTATAAGTGACGAAATGCTCCAACTTTCCGCGCAACCTCGCTCTCTAAAAACAAATGGTAAAAAGTCTCAGTCTTGAAATGTCTGGTCTCGGCACAACAGTAACACCACAAAGGAAAAGAAATTTGACGCAGATGGAGGAGTTAAAGGAAGAAAGAGATGGTCGGGGTAAGCAGGTAGGTCCAAAT